AGAAAATAAACAGATAATACTCAGATTTAAGTGCAAAATATATTTAAACTGTTGTAACAAATTGTTTTTTATAGAAAATTGGAAGAAAATTTATATTGATACCAAATATTAAATCTTAATCAAATAATTAATAATATTAATAATATAAGAAATAGAATTTTTTTTCGTTAATAATATAAAATTAATTTAGGTTTTAAAATTAAACGTCATTGAGTGAAATATGAAACATAACCAAGAAACAAATATTTGAATTTATTTCTATTAAGAAGAAGAATAAAACATTTAAATGAATACAGTTTACAAGTTCGTATATATTAAGTGAAATGAATATTTTGATATATTCTAAATTTATAAAGGAATGGCAGAAAAGGAGGCAAAGATTGAATACGTGACAGAACCTTGCCCTATTAAACCTCGTAAAATAGGTCCACAGAATATAATATTACGTTTAAAGCGTCGAGAAACATTTGGTTGTCCTTATCCAGGGACACATGTACACTGTGCTAGACAATTTTATCAAAATGTATTTCCAAATTTCACTGTTATGAATGTGGAAAAACCTCCATGTTTTCTTAGAAAATTTAGTCCTGATGGTCATTATTTAATAGCATTTAGTTCTGATCAAACTTCTATAGAAGTTTATGAATATCGTGGTGCATCTGCAGCTGCTGATTTACTAGCAAATTCAGAAGGTGAATATATTGGTCATAAGAATGATGAATGCAGTTTCCAAATTAGAAGAAACATTTTTAATAGATTTTTTAAGGTATACTATATTATTTGTAATTTTTTAATATAAAAATTGAGTTATGAATGATTTTTAAGAACAATAATAAAATATATTGTGATAATAAATAATATTGTGATATTTATAGGCTAAATGGATTGTTAATGTGGTTCAAAGTAATGAACAATTGAATAGAGAATGTAGTTTATTTACAGATGATGGTCGGTATGTAATTGTTGGTTCAGCTGCTCATATTCCAGATGAATTGAGACCACATTTCTATCAAGTAAGATGTTGGATAATAACTTTTATTCTTAATTCATTATTTTATATTATATATAATTTATTATTATATATAATATTAAATTTTATTCTTTAAGATTTATTCTAACAATGAAGCACTGACTCCAAATCCTAGATCACCACTTGAAGATTACAGTTTACATCTTGTCGATTTACATGGAGGAAAATTATGTGATACTAGACATTTTAAAGTAGATAAAATATATTTATCTCATAATCAAGGTAAATTCATGAATATATGTTTATTTTATTTATTTAGATTCATTCAATAAACATTATTATTTATATAGGCCTCTATCTTTATAAAGATATATTGGCAGTATTATCAGTACAGCATCAAACCATTCATATATTTCAAATTCTTGATGGAATGTTTATCAATGTTAGAACAATAGGAAGGTACCATTTATTTGAAAAGATATTTTTTATTTTAAATTTGTTTCAATAATAGTTTTTATACTATTAATAATTAATTTTGATTTAAAATAGATTTTGTTTAGAAGATGATGCTTATTTAGTTAGAAGTGCATGTCCTGGAGTAAATTGTCGCCCATTTAGAGATGTTACAATAAACTGTCTCAAACATAAATTGTTAGTTTATTTATATAAAAGAGCAGCATATATTAGTGATACAACAAAGGATCCATATGAATTAAGGCGTTTTTATCAATATTTTGACCAAGTATGTAAAATATATTTCTTATAATATTTTTAAATATTGTAAGTTTATCAGTAATATTTTAAATGATTTTAATAAATATTTCAGTTAAATGCATTACGAATGTGGAAAATGCAGTTATTAGATACAAATCACATTCTTGTAAGATTTGCAAGTGAAGAAGTAGCAACTCTTCAAGCAAATGAACCTAATGTACAACCTGCACTTTTAGTAGTCTATGATATGGTTACTGCCAAAATATTAGCTGCATATGATAATACATCTACCCAATTATTAACACAATTTGAAAATTTCAGTGATTTCTTCAGGAATGCTAGAATGAATGGCGATTGTCAATATATGTGTTCTCCATCTAACAATATATATGCAAGGTATAATATTCATGAAAATATAATGTAATGTATGTCTTAATATTATGAAGTAAAATAAAAAATATATCAAAAGGTATTTTATTATTTTATAATTTGAAAATCTTTTTCAAATTATATAAATATTTAAAATATGTGCGAAAAATTAAATTATTCTTTTTGCATATATATAAAAAAACACATACATGTTTGTCAATTTTGGGACCTTTTGCAAAATGAAATATATTTTATTCTCAATTCTCAATTTCATTTTTAAAAATATTAATGAAAAAAATAATGATCTTAATAATTAATCATATTAATTTATAATTTTATTTAGATTGTTACAACAGAGATTTAAACAAACAATAATAAGTGCCAGATATGGTGGTGTTACTGAAGCTACAAAAAGATTACTTGCTCAATTGCCAATATGCGCTCAATCTTATTCTAGTTCCCCATATCTGGATTTATCTTTATTTTGTTATGATGATAAATGGGTATCTATGATGGAGCGTCCTAAAGCTTGCGGCGAGCATCCTATACGGTATAATTTTCATTTAATTTTTTATATTTACAAAAATTATTTATTAAAATCATAAATATTTAGAAAGAAATATTTAATAAGAAAAATGTCATGAATTGTTGAAACTATTTTTATATAAATTTTTAACATATTAATATAGATAATAGATATTGCTATTATTTAATATTGTCGCATTATTTTAAAGGTTTTATGCTCGTGATTCTGGTCTTCTAAAATTTCGAATGTATGCGGGAATGTTAGGTCGTACCACACCTACAGCTGCAAGACGTTTAGTTGCATTTACCTTTCATCCAACAGATCCATTTGCTATTTCTGTTCAACGAACGAATGCTGAGTACATCGTCAGTTTTCATGTTAGACATGTTTAAATTTTCATTAAAAATGTTTTAATATGTTATTTTACATTTTTCCATGAATACGATCTCATTGTACATATTTTAATAATAATTATTGATAATTTTTGGACTAAATCATATTTTTAAAAAAAATTGATGTAAATGTAAATAGTTTTATTAAAAAAAATTAATTAGATTTTGTAATTTATTAATACTTTCTTTGTTTGTGATATTTTGTATATTTATAATTTTAACTTATTAGAATAATATAATTACAAAGATATGTTTTTTTATAAAAATTGTTATTATACATTTTTCATGTTATATATATAAAATATATAAAATATATATAAAATGTTATGTACATATATATATTGAGGTTATGGTAAAGAAAATTTAATGTTATAAATTTTATAAAACAAATTTCATTTTATAATAATTCTATTATTAAAAAAAAGATAATAACTGATTCTTATAAACATTAAACAATATTTATTTATATTTTAATACTATAAAAATAGTTTAATATTCAATCAAATCAAAATTATTTTTTAATGTCTTATAAATTTGGAAATTCGATTATATATGTATATATATATATATATAT